TTAAGTTAACTTTAACCCACGACACATTCCCCACTCGAAGCCTAGAATTCTAGAAGCCTTCCACACTAGAATCCCTCCAACCTAGAAGCCTTCCACCCTAGGAGCCTAGAAACCTAGGAGCCTTCCACCCTCGAGTCCAAGAATCCTAGAAGTCTTCCACCCTCGAGGCCAAGAATCCTAGAAGCCTTCCACCCTCGAGGCCAAGAATCCTAGAAGCCTTCCACCCTCGAGCCCAAGAAGCCTAGAAGCCTTCCGCCCTCGAGGCCAAGAAGCCTAGAATCTTCCGCCCTCGAGGCCAAGAATCCTAGAATCTTCCGCCCTCGAGTCCAAGAATCCTAGAAGCCTTCCACCCTCGAAGCCTAGAATACTCGAAGCCTTCCACCCTCGAAGATTTCCGTCCTAGGAGACTAGAAACCTTGGAGCCTTCCACCCTAGAAGCCTAGAATACTAGAAGCCTTCCACCCTCGAAGATTTCCATCCTAGGAGCCTAGAAACCTCGGAGCCTTCCACCCTAGAAGCCTAGAAACCTCGGAGCCTTCCGCCCTCGGAGCGTAGAAACCTAAGAGCCTTCCACCCTCTGAGCCTAGAATCCTAGGAGCCTTCCACCCTAGGAGCCAAGAATCCTAGGAGCCTTCCGCCCCAGGAGCCTCAAATCCGAGGAGCCTTCCACCCTAGGAGCCTTCCGCCCCAGGAGCCTCGAATCCAAGGAGCCTTCCACCCTGGGAGCCTAGAACCCTAGGAGCCTAGAATCCTAGGAGCCTTCCACCCTCAGAGCCTAGAAACCTAGGAGATTTCCAACCTAGAAGCCTAGAAACCCAGGAGCCTTCCACCCTAGGAGCCTAGAATCCTAGAAGACTTGCACCCTAGGAGCCTAGAATCCTAGAAGCCTTCCACCTTCGAAGCCTGGAATTCTAGAAGCCTTCCACCCTCGACGCCTAGAATCCTACGAGCCTTCCACCCCAGCTGCCTAGAATCCTAGAAGCCTTCCACCTTCGAAGCCTGGAATCCTAGAAGCCTTCCACCCTCGAAGCCTTCCGCCCCAGGAGCCTAGAATCCTACGAGCCTTCCACCCCAGGAGCCTCGAATCCGAGGAGCCTTCCACCCCAGGAGCCTCGAATCCGAGGAGATTTCCAACCTAGAAGCCTAGAAACCTTCCACCCTTGGAGCCTAGAATCCTAGAAGCCTTGCACCCTAGGAGCCTGGAATCCCAGAAGCCTTCCACCCTCAAAGCCTTCTGCCCCAGGAGCCTCGAATCCGAGGAGCCTTCCCCACCCTCGGAGCCTAGAAACCTCAGAGTCTTCCACCCTAGGAGCCTAGAAACCTCGGAGCCTTCCGCCCTAAGAGCCTAGAAACCTCGGCACCTAGAATCCTAGGAGCCTTCCAGCTTCGGAGCCTAGAATCTTAGAAGCCTTCCACCCTAGGAGCCTAGACACCTCAGAGCTTTCCGCCCTAGGAGCCTAGAAACCTCGGAGCCTTCCACCCTAGGAGCCTAGAATCCTAGAAGTCTTCTACCCTCAAAGCCTTCTGCCCTAGGAGCCTAGAAACCTCAGAGCCTAGAATCCCAGGAGCCTTCCAATCTCGGAGCCTAGAATCCCAGGAGCCCTCCAGCCCCCCCACAAGCCTAGAATGGTTTGGGTTGGAAATGACCTTAAAGATCATCAAGTTCCGCCCCCCTGCCATGGGCAGGGACACCCTCCACTAGCCCAGGTTGCTCAAAGCCTCATCCATCCTGGTCTTGAACACCTCCAGGGATGGGGCATCCACAGCTTCCCTGGGCAACCTGTTCCAGTTCTCACTATGAGTGTGGTGAGACAAGTTCTTCCTTATGTCTAGTCTAATTTTACCCTCTTTTAGCTTAAAGACAGCAGCATATAATACGCAGCATATAATTTTTGTAAGACAGCAGCAGTAGGATGCTACTTCTCCTATGCCATAGGCAATAGGTGCAGAATGGCATGAAGCAAGTGTGGCTTCTGAGAGCCACAGCACACTGGGAGAAGCTGAGCCTGGCACAGCTGGCACACCAGCAGAGTCTAGGATGAAGCAGCCAGAAGCAAGGGCAAGCAGCACAGTGTCTATTTTTTAGGAAAAGATAAAGCTTTACCAGCATGAATTGTCCACCTTGGTATCACTAATTGCTCCAGCACAAGTGGCTAGGAGTTTATGAGATCTGCCACAGGCTACCAGCTCTGTTCTACCGAGGGGCCACATATCCACAACCAAATGTGCCTGCTGCTGGAACTGAGCTATTTGGGCAGGAACTCCAGAAACCTTTATCAACCACAAGCTGAAATTGTTCCTGTCAAACAAAGGTACAAGGAGACAGAATTCATAATTTTTTCAGCTAGACTGCTGCAGGACTGTACAGCTGCTAAGAGCTGGGCAATTTTCATGGGGTACCAAAATGAAAAAAAAAAGCAGTCCACAGAAAAGTAAACTATTGAACAATCCTTAGATACTGCCACAGAGTTGCCCATTCTCAGAGCTGCTCTGGTTGAAGCTGCTTCAGGCAGTCTGCCCAGAGCATAGCCACATAGTCTCCTTTGAGCACAATTAGTCACAAGAAATTAAGCAATGCTCAGATACTCTTCTTACCCAGAAAACTGCCTTTAGAAGGGTATGGCTTGCTGACCTGTGTCCCCATATGTCAAATGATAGCAAAAGATGACCCTGGGTTTTATAGGCTGAGCTGCCTCAGCTATGGCAGTATAGGCCCAGTTGGCCACACTAAGTTTAAAGAGATCTATCTTACCCAAGACCAGCAAGGGCTACAGTTCCAGAAGCCCTTAAGTTTTAAACAGCCTCTTCTTGCTAGCAAGAGGTGTAAAGATTGACAAAATACAAAGCATTGGAAAGTAGCCTGAAGGAGTCCAAGCCATCTATACATCCCAATGCTTTTGAAAGGCTTGGTTTCCTTTGTGTGCAGCATATAGGAAGTAAAAGTTTAAGAGAGCTACTCTTTTCAGCAAGATGATCTGAAACCCCCACATTTCATCTCAATATCCATTCCAAGAACAATCCTACCAAGTCAAATATTTATCTCTAGTCCTCTGAGTGAAGAGCTCCAGGTGATGAGTAATCTGTGATAGTTCTGTGCCTAAAACATCAGTTTGTCATTTTACATCCCACACAAAATCTTGCCATACAACAGCAGCTTGTTCTATCAGACATCTTTATTTACTGTATTGCCCGAGTGTACAAATACTGAATGTAGTTATACAAATTCAAAATATGTTGTAGTAGAAATCTGTCTGGGAAGTGGAATGTTAAGGTATTTTTACTTTATAAAATTACTACTTACATAACTCACTCCCACTTGCAAATTTTAAATATATCAGGGCTACGAAGAGACAGATTACTTTATGGTCCTGCAAAAAAGGAGTTCTCAGAAAACATTTTCTGCTAGATGAAGTCAGTCAACAGCAAGTTGATTTCTTACATTTGACTCATTTTGAGTTATCGGTCAATGGGATGTTAGCTACATCCAGAAAATTCATACACAATTCATCTCTCATTTATACCACAAAAGTCAATGTATCACTATCAACATATTTAAGCATTAGTCAAACAGAATCTCAGTGACAATATTTTAAGCTAATAAAGTCAAGCCAATAAGTCACCCCTGGCCATTGAGCGCAATTGATGCTTTTCTTTTTCTCCACATTTTCAGAATAAGGCGCCTTAGTTCTTGAACAAGTCAATACAGCTTTGCAGGAGAGAGACATTGTTCTGGAAAGGAAGAGAGTTAGTTTCAGATTAGTATAACTGATAATTTCAATCCTGCCTTCCACAATGAAGTAGCTTACAAAATAGGAGCTTCCTGGTCCCTCCCAGGATTTTGTAGCCTGTGACAATGCAAGAGAGCTCATACTGCAAAGACAAGCATTCAAGCAGTAAAGCATCAAAACCAGGTCATACACCCTGCAATTTGCTTCTTCCTGCAGGCATGCAGCCGTGACTTGCTTTATAGGAAAGAGGTGCAAGAGACAGAGTAGTTAGTTTTTAAAGTGGGACAAACTCAGAATCACTGTCAAGCCCTTTATGCATCACATTCAAGCTCAGCACTGAGATGGCTACCTGTGATGAAGTTCAGGGCTCTCAGGCAGTGTGAAATTGGACTTTCCTTCTTCAAAAGCAGCTGAGGGTACACAGTTACCTCTTCCTGAGGCTTCTGGCTTTGTTCTTTACACTAAATTAGGAAACCCCATAACCTGTGTACACTTTCCTGGATTAAGCTGGCAGTGCATCGGGTGGTCTCAGCAACCTGCTTCAAGCCTGCTCTGTGTAGTTTGGCAGAGGCTGCTACAAAGCCAGTGTCCCCCTTCACTGACAAGCCAAGTGAGAAGGGTTCACAGCTCAACCACAAGCTGCAGAATGTGCTCTCACTTCACTTGGGAACACTTGAGGCAGCAGCTGCCCCTAGATGCAGGAGGGGTCAAAACCCACAGATGAAGCTGCCTCACAGGAAGTTAGCCAAACTGTTGTGTACTACCTGCAAAACTGAGACATCTCACTTGTAGAGCAATAGGCTGATGTCCTACAAATGACAGGTTGAAAACAGACTTTCTGCACAGGGCAGATAAGGCTATCAGCATTTGCTCTGTGTGCACTACATCTGCAGCTTTCTACTGCCTTTCCTTCCTCTCTTCAGATCTCAGCTAAAGAGCCCAGCTGTTCTATTTTACACTTCCTAGTTTTAAAGGTAATCCAGCAAATCCTCCAAGTTACGTGGTACTCACTTCTCTTAAGCTATGCCTGTGAAATTCCAAAAAGAACACACCTTTGCATGTTTTATTTCCAGTTCTGCCATTTCAATTAGGTTTTTGCGGAATGCTGCTATTCTCTTCTGTTTGAAGCTCATCAGTTCTGCAGGGAAGAAAGAACAAAGATAAGACAGATGTACAAAGAGTGACTGAAGTTTCAGTAATGCCCCTTGTATTTCATAAGTTCTGCTGTACAGCTCTAGTTATAGCATTTGGCCACAAAAAGGTTCAAGAATTAGCCTCGCTGTTTCTAGCCAGAAGATGCATCCATCCGATGACACTGCCATCTTGGTGAGGAAAGAGCCAGCTTATCTAAGACAAAAAGGTTTTGTAGGAAGACAACTGGAATAAAGCAGAAACAAGCACGCAAGCTCTGTGAGAATACAGAACATGTAAAAACCAAGAACATTAAAGCAGCAGTATGCAAGCATGCTTCTTCTGGTTTATATTGTCCAAAGGCATCTTCTAAGAACTAGGGTGTGAAACACTGTAGGAGGCATTCAGCTGTACCAGGACAGAGCAAAACCTGTCTGCACAGTTCCAACTGAGATAATGAGAAGCCTGAGCAGTTACCTTCAGGTGGAGGCTAAGAACAAAAGTTCAGTCTGGAAAGCAAATAGTAGGGGCTTATAATTAAGGTTGGTCTGACACTGCTCTGCTTTGGACAGCCATTCTTAAAAATATTTAGTTGCACTAATTTTACAGGCATTTATGCTACTCCAGGATGACTAACTTGCTTCAGCAGTGTTCATAAGCCTTCAGCAGTTGAGGGTTAGATGGAGACCTGGACTGCATCAAGAACCCCCTTCAACATAAGTACAAAGCTTGCGATACCTTGTTTTGCAGATTCTGAAATCTTTTCGAACTTCTGACAACAATCCTGTTGATGTGTCTCAGCCAGCCTGACATCCTTGCTCTTTAGTCTGGCTTTATCTAGAGCTTTGTTTGAGTTTTCATAGTCGACAAGAGCCCTTGTACGTCTGTACAGAAGATTCTGAAAGTAGAATAGTGACATCAAAGCCTTAAGAGGACTACTTCCCAAAATGATGTTACAACTACCTCAGCAGCAGGAGGTTTCACTTCTTGCAGCACCAGACTCTGCTTTTTCCAACAAGCTATTATAACCTGCTATGCTCTTAGCATACCAACAGGAGCCTTTCACCAATGCAGTGGCAAGTACTCAGGACAGCCACTTGTGCCTTAGTCAAGGAAGTCTGAGGGCTACTGTAGGCATCACCCTCCCTTAAAGTAAGTTTATCCTTCTATAAGGTGGGCCTCTCCACCAAAGAGTAACAGCAATTTTTTAATCCCCTCACTCTCCTTTCAGTAAGGGCTACACTATCACTTAATTCATTGGAGATCTGACAGTGACTGAAGCTGTACAGATCTCAGTGCCAGTTTCCTTCTAATCTAGCAGCAGTGTGGTCTTGGTATCTGAACAGCAGTATACCGCACAGAGCGAGCCGGTAGCAGCTGTCCCTGGGTACCTGGTGACATCAGGGGTATGACACTAGATGAAGCAGCCTATCAGTCTATACCTAGATATCATTTCTCAGTGTAGTTGCCCCCTTGCCAAGCCAAGTATTGAGTATGAGAGTTTCTGGCAAGGCTTTCGCAGTTACAGTCTACCAAACCCCTCCCGTGAGGGCTATTGGAATCTGGACTTCCATGTTACCATATATTCATGATAAAGTACTTCAGTAGTTGGGCTTTACTACAGGACTTTTCACTAGTTATCACTGGTTTTACTGACAAGTTGTGAGTATTCAGGCAGGGGAAGGGTTAGAATGCTGCTTCAAATTCAGCTTGCTCAAACTTACAGATATCTAATGAGTTCTTCCTCTCTACATGCCAAAGAAAATCTGGTCAGAGATCTTTAAAAGCCCTTCTGTAAGTGGGCTGCACTACAGATAGCCAATATGTAGTTGCCATATTCCGCTGTGGTTTAGCAGTGCCAGGTTTCTTAGGCAAGACATGGGTCCCCCCTCCTGTCTTCTTAAAGCATGAAGAATACCACAAGTGAGTCATGACGACCATAATAAAACCAAGCTTCAAAAAGAAAACTGTTCTTACCTTAGCAGCTTCTATATTGAGCATGTAATATCTCAACAGCTCAGAGAGCTTTAAGTCTTCATCAGACGAAACTCTACTCTCTACCTTCTGCAGAAGAGATCAGATAGTTGGTATGTAACAGGAAAAAGCAACATCCAGATTCAGAGGTTCTTTCCCCCCCTCAAGCTTCTCTTACCCTGAGTTTCTCAAAGAGCTCAGCAACTTTCAACAAGTACCTAGGGGAGAGGGGCAGGAAAAAAACATAAGTCTTAGATACTTCTTACTCTAATAAGTGCCAAGGTCAATTGCCAGGAAAACAGAAATCTGAAAGCTAGTTTTCTCCTGCATACAGAGCCAGATGAGGGCTTAAAAAGAACTCAAAGACTGGGACAAAAAAGGTTCAATGGAAGAGGTGCTGGATTCTACTCTACAACTAGTACAGCCAAGCAGCTAGATACCATTTAAAGTAACAACACTAGTGCATAAAGGTCTCCTGGAGAATTTCCCCATTGCTACTCTCCAAGACAGATGAATTGTCTTGTTTATTTAGCTACATATGCTGCTTTAAGAAGGCCTTGAGCAAAGTTCAGAAAGGTGGATGAATTCACCTCAGGAAAGCTGACCAGGTTTCCATAGCTTAAAAACCCTACTGTTCTGGAACTTCAAAGGTCCAGAAGATAATACAGGCCTAGTGCAAACTATGTATTTAACAGCACATTAAAACACAAATGCATAACCCCTTTCACCCATATTCTCTGGGAATTTGTGACCTGAAAAAAATTCAGGGAGACTTCTGTTTAGAAGGAGCTTGGATGACCAGCACAATTCAGCTCTAGGGCACAACTTGCAAAGGATCAGCTAGTTAAGAGTCAGACACAGTTGATAGTTTTAGGTCTGCTGCAGCAGAAATGTCAGAGGAAAGAAAGCTCCAACGCCACCTGCATACAACTCAAGAAACTCAAACCAGCTATGACTCAATCCCCTGGATTTTACAAAAGGAACTTGATATTTCCAGACTCAGGATATGTTTATGAACAATTAGAATTGCTTACCTTTTAATAACTGTAGGTTCTTCTAATGCCAGGCTGTTCAAGCAAGCTGAAGTATAAATATAGTCATCTGCAACATCTGCAAGAACAAGACAAGGTTTTCAGGCTGAAATCAGCAAGACTGCAAGGTCTTTAGAAAGGTCTTTGAAAAGATTCACTTTTATGAGATCTTGTCATCTTATCTGCTTTTGCACATGCATCCTTGATTCTGTTGTAGTAGTTTACAAGAAAAGTCTTCTCTTGCTCAAAAAAGTCTTCTACTTCCTGAAAGAGAGTATGTCCTGTTAAGCCAGTTGTATTACTGTACAATACATGCTCTTCCCTATTTTGCAAACGGCCAAAGAAATGTGGCCGCAGCCATGAGCCAGGCTAGAGCTCAAGACAAGACCCTGAGCGAAGAGTTTGACAAACCAAGCTGTTTGGCATGTTTCTTCTTCATAAAGTGAAAGTGGACTTGACACTCAATTATTCAATGCTGCAGGTTTCCTGAAGCAATCAGTAAGTTGGTATCAGAGAGCCCTTAGGGCTAGCAACTGGCAGAATTTTATTTCCCAGGCCTGCCGCAACACAGTAGCTTAGCAGTCAGCAATTTACAAGCTTTCTTTACATCCACACCAAACATTATACGTAATGTTTCATGACATTGTGTTTAGGACAGCAAATCTATTAGAAAGAGCTACCATGGCAACATAACAGAAAAGCTGTTACAGGAGTCTTTGGTATTTGATCTCATCTAGTGCAACCAGAAGCTCACAAATCATGTTTGTTCAGAGCTTCAAAGTAGACAAAAGCCACAAGCTCATTTGCTGAAGGTGTAACTCTTCCCCAACAGTATCAGGTGTTAAGGCAACTCTTGTACATCTGCCAGAAACTTTATATATTTAAATTTAACAGCCTATAACTTCAATGTCTTTTTTCTATAGAAGTAAAAATTAATATAAGCCATTCCACCCAACAGCAATAACAAGGAAGGTTAGCATCAGTAACTGAGCCTCATGCACAGGGTAAACAAGAGGTAAACCCACTGCCTTACCTTGACTCCAGAGAAGAGTACTTCATCAGCACTCTTTACCACACTTTTTAAAAAGCCACCAAACATCTCTTTTGTGTTTTTCCTCCGAACACTCAGCTGCAACAGAGAGGCCAAGACAGCTTTAAAGTCATCCCAAGGGGAGAAGAGTGGCCTTTTTTTTGACACTTGCAGTGTCGCAATATCATTTATATCTAGCAAGTGATAATCGCCAGGTTCTCCATAATACCCATATAAGCTGTACAAAGCTGGCTCATGGAGCAAATGGCTTGACTAGAAGTTGTTCAACTGTTCTGTGCCACAGATTTTTCCCATTCCCAGAAACAGCTCAGTTTCTCCTTACATATCTTGGATCAACATCCATCCCTCGTAACTGTTACAAAACAGATGCAGTACCAACTTTAATACACCTCCATTCTTCCATTTTAGGACCACGTAATGCACAGCACAGGTACACCTAAACCATATTTGTTCCTAAGATGTGAAGACTTACAAATTGGGCTTCCTAACCAACTTGACTAACATTAAGAAATATTGAGACTTACAGTAGAAAAAGGTCTAAAGGTCAGGCTTTCATCCTTTAATCATCTCTCAAAAGTACTTGCGATATCTGCTTGCTGACACTGCATATAGATTTGCACAACATTCTGACTGTGCCCAGAAAGTGACAGCACTCCTAACACCTCCCCTCACTCAGAAGGAATACAAAATAAGGTGTCTTACATCCTGGTCATACTCCAAGAAAACATGAAAATTGCGATCTTTGCTGAGCACAGGATGAGAAGAAATCCGCTGAAGGAAGATCTCATGTGATGATACAGTCTTCTTGAAGACAGCAAGGTATTCACTGAAAGGGAAGAACAGACTGAGATCCTCTCTTGTACCAGTGACTTCAATATACAAAGAATTGCTTTAAGTTTATCCAGTGAAAATAGTCAACAGTACATTTCTGAAATAGCTAGCTGGTGATAGAGAAGCTATTTTCAATCTCTTTAGCTAGGAAGTTTTCCAGTTTGAAAGAAACTTTTGGCAACTCCCCAGCTCTAGGATTTTAAAGATTATACAAAAACAATTGACAAAACAGCCACACTCAAGCTCAGTTACCACCAAATCAGCTGCTCTCCCAGGAGGCTTCTCTAAGTGCCCCTCTTTTCATTAGACTTATTCTACTTACGCTTCTAGTTCTTGCTTCATTTTGGCAAACTCTTCTTTTGTCATAGACACTTCTCCTTCCCCTAGCTTCTGCATCTTCTCTCTGGGACCATCAAAGTCAGGCTTTGAAGGTGCTGGAGGTATCTAGCCAAGGAATTGGTTAGTGATAGATGCTAGGTAAATAAAGTTTTCCAAAACTACTTCTAGCCTTCTCTGGAAGGAGGCCCTTTTGCATAGTCATGGCAAGCCAGCAAGGCTCTGCATCCAGGAATTCTAGAGGCACCTTGTTCTGCCCCCCCACCTCTGTACTACCCTTGCCACAAGAGGAAAACCAACCAAGAAGAACAGCCTCTGTAATCCACCCCATAGCCAGCCATCCTTTGTGGCCCACAAAGCCTCCTACAGAATCACGATAGGAAAGAAAGACTATTTAATAGAGTACTTCACTGTGTCACCTTCAGGCAGATATTAATACCACCATAGAGTCAGGAACTCTCAGAGCATCAAGCTTTCTTTGCTGTTCCAAGCTATAGGGAAAGTTAATATAGAGCCACACCACTCAAGTTGTTCGGGAATTAAGGCAAAAGGAGGCAGAGGGAATACTTGAGTCATGAAACACTAGTGGTACCGGTAAAGCAGCCTTCACATCCTTACTGTTAAGCACTTTAAGTCACCACAGTCTTTTGTTTAGAATTACATTTTTTAGGAAGAACTTACAATGAGTCCCGCATACTCTTCTGTTTCAGTGAGTGTATCATGCAGCCACACAAAGTCTTCGTGCTGTCTTGTAACTGAAAACTCAGGGCTTTGAAAAGCTGGCAGTGTAGTCTGGAAGAGAAGATATAGAAGCCCTACTGTTTTGTAAATTAGTGCTTTTAGAAACAGTTCTGTCCACTTCCAAAGGAAGCTATTTTGCCTAGTAAGAGCCTTGCCTACTCCCTTTTAGCTGAGCTGGCACTCATTCGAAAGCCTTACTACTAAGGAAACTATTTAAAGAAAAGGCACTGTTGTGGAACAGTATTAATGCAGTTTATTTTGTCAAGTTTCACAGTAGCTAGTCTTCCCAGCCCTACCCCCAGCCTTCTCATGTCAAGCTAGGATTCCTCAGCAAAGCCAATCCAGTGTTATCAGCTACCTTGTCTCTATTTAGAGAGTGTTCAAGTCCTGGGAAATCTCTAGTTTCCACACATATATAGCCTCAGGCCACCTTGAAGTACAAGGGCTCCATCTCATTAGATTTCCTTCATCACCAAGCCCATCTTTACAGGTGTTTCCCAAACACAGAGATTACTTGCATAACATTTACAAAGACCACTTTCTACCCCACGATCTTACCTTAGTATGCACAGTGAACTTCACTCTGTCCTTTTCACTTAGGGCATCAGGTATATCAATTTGGAGAGAAGGATCAACATTCAGGTCTACAGATACAGACCTCAGCTGCAACAGAATGCACAGGATAAGCCTTGATCAAGCATCGAGCAGGTTCAGTGAAGCTAGACTAGTCACCAGCTGTCAACAAGAACCACACTGCACTAAGCAGCCGCCTCCAGGAACAGCGCATACGAACAAACCCAACAGCCTTGACGCTACCTGCACATCAGTGTGACAAACCTTCCCATCCAAACACAGGAAAGGAAAAAGGCTCGATAACTTAAAGTCTGACGAACCAATTGCTAGAGTTCACGCAAGAGGTATTTGGGAAGTCTTCTCTCAAAAGCAGTATCCTCCTTCCAGTACTTCTTCAGCTTGTTTACTTGAAGCACATCAAGCCAAAGCCCATTATGCCATTTAGAAAATAGCAACAACCTTAATAATTCTCTCGTCATTATCCTGTGCCTCCACAATGGGTGGCAGAACAGCTTGTAAGGGCCTAGCCTTGTGATTTGTTTCCTCCCCCTTAGATTACAGCAGGTCTCTCATCTAAGGAAAGAAGAATTAAGTGTTTTTATCTGTTACAAATAGCAGGCCATGGGCAAGAGCCTGATGCTTCCTCACCAGGCCCAGATTGGTCACCACTGCAATTCTGATCTCCCAAGACTACTGGAGATGTTCCAGTAGCTGTTCTGACAGCTCCAGAAGCAACATTCTCTCTGATCTTGGGGAACAGAGGGGCATAAAACCTTTCTAGGCTCCCATAAAGTCTAAGAGACAACTAGTTGCCAGAAACAGGACTGAAACCCAAGAACACTGTGGCACTATCACTGCATCTGCTTAATCTTTTTTTCAGGATACCTGGCATCATGTTATTCATTGCTACTAGAACGCCCATTTGCTGTTAAAGCCCCGATAAACTGCTATAAGAACTAGCCTCAAAGATATCCGAGCTTTGCAAAAAGCTGTTTATCACATCTAACCACAAGTCTCTTCCTAAATTCAGGTCTCGTCTTACCCTTTCTAGAGAGCTTTGTGTCTGGCAACATTAACAGTATTTGTTTCCACGCAGAGCAGCCCAGAAGAGGTTTCTCACCACACTATGTGAGGGACCCCTTACAAGAGACCTCCGAGAATATCAGCTTCAGTGAACATCAGACTGGCCTTCCCAGGGCTTCAGACAGTCCTTAAACAGAGCCAGCATCTTCCTTTGGGGATTTATTCATTCCAACAGCTTATACCCAGAATATAATTTCAACCACACTTACACTTTGCTAGAGCACGTTATAAGCCACTAACATCCTCAACCCGTACTCCTACTGAAATCCCTCCCAAGGACAGTGCTTGCTGACTCAGAGCACTCAAGGCCCCGACGCTCAGCATGCCACCCCACTCTGGGACGCCAGAGAAGGGGCCAGGAGATTCAGCACAACCACCAGCCCATTTCTTCCTCTGGGTTACAATATGAGCTTCCTTTATCAAGTTGTGCTTCACTGCAAGTGCCCAACCATTGAAGACAAATGGCTTCAATCCCCTATGTGACCTCAGAAGCAAGCAAAGAAGTTTAGGCATATACAGATTACTAAGATTAATGCATACATCCAGTTCTTACATCAAGTAGAATCATGTATTTAGATACCAAGGAACACACTTTTACAAGCTATTAGACACTAGTGGTCACCAGCTTGAATCATAGAATCATTAGGGCTGGAAGGGACCTTAGAGATCATCCAGTTCCACCCCCTGCCATGGGCAGGGACACCTCCCACCAGCCCAGGTTGCACAAAGCCTCAGCCAGCCTGGCCTTGAACCCCTCCAGGGATGGGGCATCCACAGCTTCTCTGGGCACCCTGGGCCACTGCCTCACCACCCACACAGGAAAACATTTCTTCCTGATGTCTAATCTAAATCTACTCTTTCAGCTATATTCCAGCTTTCATCTGTGTTCCAGCAGCATGAAGGAACCTTAGTCTATCACATTATGGTGGTTTCTGTGCTATGAACCCTGTTTTCTAAGAGGCTCTCCCTTCAGTGCTGCCTGTATACCAGCCAGGAGCTTACCCCTACCACCTGCTAAGCACAACAAGTCTCAGCGCTGAAGCCCACAAGCAAATGGTGCCAGACAGCATCTGAGCAATCCTGTCATATCACAGATAGCTTGAAGGTTGCCTTAAGCTTCCGCAAAGCTGCAAAAGAACTGTTGAGAGGCTGCCCCTTGTAAGGTGAAACTCTGCATCCAAAACCCACCGTGGCTATTGCCTTGGCAACAAGCAAGGACACTGAGCTTACAGAGCACACCCTGGAACACAGTTCTTCAGGATCCCAGCACTGCTCGCATCTGAATGGACAGGGTGGGACTCCCAACACTACAGAGACTCCAGCAGTACAGTTGCTTCTCTCCAACCATGTTATGGAACATATTATATCCCCTTCCAGCATGTGATTCTAGGTCCTGCTAGGAAGGCACAGATCAAACAGCACAAAGGCACATGGTTTGGAGGTCACTGACCCTGGTTGAGGCAGAAGCTGCCCGATTCAAGAACAAGAGGAAGCACAGGTAGAAGGCCACTGTTTAGACATTAGTTTCACTGCAAACACAGCTTGCTGTCTGTTGCCAACTGAATGAAAGGCAAGATGGTCAGGGTTTTCCAGGCAGATAACATTAGCAGCCAAAGCAGTGAGATGCAGACCCCAGTGTTTTGCATCCTGCTTACTTATCTTGACTGTCCAAACAGGATCAGCAGTGCTAACAATATGAACTGCTGAGTCTTGAAAGCATGATAAGCCAAAGGAAACTGCTTCCTCTCAGTTAAACTAAGGATTACACAAATCAGCCCATAATGAAGTTGACAAATTCAGGACTAAGCAATGTCGAAAAACTAACCCATGATTAGCTGCTGCCTGCCCACCCCTCGATGCCTAGCAGTTGCCTGCACAAGAGACAGGCAGGCACAGACACAAGACCGGTACTGCTTTGTCAGGTGAAAGCAGTTCACACATTGCAGATGTTTCTCCCCTGCACTAGCACCATAAACTGCAGAGGCAGTTGGGCAAGAACACAATCTACAGCTTCAACAATCGCAGGGAATGTTACCGCAGGAGAGCTTATTGCCCCAGCAGGGCCTTATTTACACAGAAGCAACTGGGAGGCAGCAGCAGCACTCAGCTGTGCACCGCAGAGCAGTATGTGCTAAACGTGTGTCTCGAAGTATGAGACCAGCCTGGAAATAGTCAAACACACCCTGTACACACAGATGGGATTCTGCCCCTCAGGACTGCATGAAGCCACTTGATAAAAAAAACAAACTCGTACCTCTCCTACCCTAAACATCTGCTGTAAATGTACATGACCCAGCCCATACTTAAAGGCCACTGCAGGCTCAAGCATCAAGTATATCTCTGTTTGAAGGCTGCACAGGATTCTCATGACTACCCTTCCAGAGACTGGTCTCCAGAGAGAGACCTGAAGCCATATGAAATAGAGGATAAAAAAAACCACTGGTCTGCTCTAGTCCTGTGAAGGTCACTGCAGGCTGCTAACTGCAGGCCAGAGACCTTTAGAATTACCCAATCACAGCAGCAAGGCTCAGACTACAAAGAGAACATTCACACTGTCTGACTTTAGGAGGACAGAGTGCTTTGTTTTCCTAGAGAAAGGGCTAGGGCAGCATTTCTCCAGTGACTTGGAAGCAAGCAGCCCCCCTCTTGTTACCACAGCTCTCTAAGGCACTAACCCAGTGCACCTAGAGTAGACGTACCACACCAGCCTCTGATCAACACAAGCACTTGCTCTGGCAGTGTTACAGCTCATCATTCAGGGCCATCCCTCCTGCATTCTAGCATTCCACCATCCCTCCTACACCCATAAGGACCAACTCGCTTATGGTCACACAAAGGCTGTGCAGAGCAGAGACATTAAACTTTCATCTCCAGGCCTCAGGCTTGTTCCCTTATCACAGGCACCCAAGCCAAGGCCTTCCTAGGAAGCCACTCCATCTTAGCTCTCTGGCCTGTCATGCCTGGCAGCTCCCTCACAACTGAAGGCATTTCTCTGCTAGGACATCACTGCTTCTTCCCTGCACTCCCAGCAGCAGGCAAGAGAACTGAAGTTTCCCCATCCCAGTTACCAGAAAGTAGTCTGTCACCCCACATCCTCAAGGGGCTATCATTCAAGCTCAGCAGCTGGTAAGAGATTATTCCTTACTTGCAGCATATTGCCCACAGAGATACAGAAGATGGTGACTCCTGGAGCAGCACAGTGGGGAAACAGCTGGGTTGGGCTACAAACTGAAACACTCACCCAAGCCCAGCGCAGTGCTCCCACTTTCACCTCTCATTTCCCTTTCTCAGAAACAGCTTAGAGGCTTGTGGTGTGCAATGACTACAGCAACTGTTACAGCCACTCTGATGCCTTCCACTTCTAGGCTCCTGCCCCTTTAGTGATTTGTATTGGGATCCCCAGGCTTTGGGGATTCAAGGAAATTGTTCCCTTTACTGAAAAGATATTGTTCACCTCAACTGTCTGACCTGGAAGTTGGAACAAGACATCAAGCAGAGCCCTCCAGAATAACCGACAGTCATCATACTGATTAATGTTCCTAGGCTTCACAACCATAGACTAAAATAGATATTATGGTACTAATTAGGACACTACCATAATCACCTGATCTGGAAGCCCAAGAGAAGAGACAGCAGAGAGCATTACTGTGACCAATCCAGGTGGAGTTTTACAGCACTTGCTTAGAGATATTAAAGAAAACAAAACAACCAAAAGATTTGGATCATTTACATACAATCCAGTGACAACAATCAGCTACCCAGGCTTCAGCTTGACAGACATAAGTTTCTGGTTGGGCCTCACCCAACGCAAATACATCTTCATGCTTGCAAGCATCCAGTGGAAGGAAATGCCCTCAGCCACTGAAGCTGCTTAGTTCTGTTGAGCAGCCTGAACTGCTGCTTTTAAAGTTATGCCCTCCACAGTTTTAGCATCAGTTCCAGATGACTCAGTGTTACTTCTGCATTCTAACAAAAGAATCTGCCAGTGCAAGCAGCTGTGTGCAACA